ATAATACATTTTTTATTACGGAATCCTTCTCTTTGGGCACTCTACCTCACTTTTTCCAAAACTTTCCGAACTTCCTCTTCTTTAACCTAGTGTAGCCTTCATTATTATTATTATATTTAGGAACTAGTTTAAGGTTTTAATAAATAAAATTATCTGGTAAGACGCACAGCCAATCAAAAGACACTAGTTGTGTCTGTCCTATGATGGATGATTTTAATGAATGCTATAACGTGAAACTTGCTAAAGCTTTCGTTATCGGACAAAAAAAATTATAAATTGTATGCAACCACCATGCATTATTGCAGTAACTAGTGGTTGTCCTATATTAGTAATTTAATGTGGTAAAGTTATTATATGACAATGATAAATTGATAATGAAGAAGAGTTACATATTTGTAACAATGTTTGAAAAGCTATATATAACGTGAAAATTGCCAAAGCTTTCGTTTTCAGAGAAATATAGTAATTTATTTGTAATTTATTGCCTACGTTCGTTCGTATACACGATTTGAAGTTAATTATCACCTTTAGTCTGGAAAATTATGTACAAGTCATTACAGATTTCACTACGATCAAAATTTGAGAATATAATTATTTTTTATCTCTTTTATAAGAATTCAAATTACTACAATTGGGCAAACTGATATTTGTAAAATGAAATGCATAAATAAACCGATATTATAATGCAAATACCGATACATGAATTAGGATAAGAACGAATATGCAGATGCAAGATACAATCTCTATCCTTAATTTTGAAAACGTCATATAGTGTGACGGTTGTGTGATGTTCCGAATTCCAGGATAAAACTGCAATCAACTTTGTTTTGCACAACTCAAGAACAGAATCACACAAACGTTAGAATCTGTGTTATACTCTCAGATACAAATAAAATAAAAGAAAAAACATGTGAGAGGGTTTTTGTTGTTGTTGATCATGTTGATCATATATGATTCGATGTTGAACATCGTCTCTCATTCTGAGAAGAGCAATGGTTTGTTTTATAACAAGACCTCACGTACAAACGTATGTGACGTAATAAAGTGTAGTAAAGTGGAGGATTTAATCAGAGAAGTTATGAGAATTGATCTCATCTCAGCATAAAACGTGACTGACCAAAGATTCAATCATTTTTTTTTCTTGTTAATTAATTAAAAGAGATATTTTCTTTGTAGAACACCCCATTTATTAAATTCCGAAGTCTAAAACTGAATTCCGGTCCGGATATCTCCTTTCTCCTATATATCGTTTATAAGGTTTTGAACTTTGTTAGAAGTTTTCCACTTATACTTAAGGATTTTATATCCAAACTTCCAATGTGGGATATTTGCTAGTTTTTAAACTTAGTCAAATTATTGGAAACTTTGTAAGCTTTCCGAGTTATCCACTTTTGAGCTTTATTTCTCTATCGCGCCTTAAATCCGGTCATTCCGATGAACGTCTTCACCGGAAATCTCATTGGAAAATGGTCGTAAACCATTTTGTCAAAAATGAGTTCCAATAATGAGTTCCAACATCTTTTTTCTTTTTATTTTAGACGAAACAGTAAATAGAAACCAAAAAAAAAGAAAAAAATTCAGGGGTAACATGATACTTACTTGAAATACTTCATACATTTGACGATTATTACTCTTAATTAATACAGATAATAATTTTTAAATTAACTCAAATTTTCTTTCTATTGATCACACTAACAATTTGGACGGTGGGCTTCATTTGGATCACAGCCCGTAAGTTATGGGTCTTAATTGTTTGTTCCACAAAACTCATAGAACGTATCTATGTAAATTTTACACACAAAACGTTTATGAATTTTTTGCCGGTTAGAGAGAAGTCACTAAAAGAGAAACCCAACAAAACGCCTCTCAGTATGCTTCCAATCAAAGACAATAATAGCATCGGTGTCAAGTGTAAACAGTGAAGCGTGAAATAGTATGATTGAGCAACAAGTCAGGAGTCTCCGTGTGACTCGGAGGGCTTTTGTTGTCCCAACCCTTCTTCTTACCCAAGATAGTCTTAGCTGGCTCCTTGCTGGCTCCTAATGCCAAATTATGCTAAAATAATCATTTTATATACTTTTTCATTCGCATATTTTAGACAACATAACCATAGATCAATTCTCAAGACGTTAAATTATCTAAAACACTTTTATTTCGCCGGCTCAAATAGTATCTTACTTTAGATCTACTTGAAAATTCGGTTAATAAATTAGTAGACGATTACACTCACCTTAAAAAAAATAGTCGGATGGTAATTACGCTAATCACTTTCTTAACTATTAAAAAAGAAACAAATATCTTAGGTGTTAGAAGAAGAAAAAGAAACATGTAATTTAATGTTTTTTTTAAATCAATTAAACTAGACCACGTTTGCGTCTAAAACGCGTGGTTTCTGATGCGGCACACGAAGTCTCTCGTCGTGGAGCTTATGTTATCGAGCCCTATCAGAATCAATTATGTATTAGCCATTAGGCAGCTCTCGAAACCACACTTTTTTTACTCAGTTTTTTAGTGGCTCCATAAAGTTTGACCTTCAATGAATGATTCCTTCACCGTCACGTTAACCAAAAAGGCCTATACTTGAGGTCAAAGCAACCTCGCATCATTTACAACGACGACGACTCTCTTCTTCTTTTATAATGCTTAA